CCTTTTCTTTGGTTCCCATTCCTTCTTCTTTTATTATTATTTTTTTTAATAAATTTTCTCAGGCTGCTTTTCTTCATCTATTTTCCTTTTCCTCTCAGATTGTCATAATTGGATTTAAACATACATTTGTGTGTTCTTTTTCTAACCAAAAAGAAGTGATTTAAAGCTTGCTTTCTACCCTTTAGCTTAAGTGAAATGGCTTTTTGACATTTTGATTTTTTCATAGCCTTCGAATTAATAACTGGCTTTTAAAAACATTGCTCATCACTGGTAAATCATGAGCAATTTAAGTCATAATAAGGAAAGAAACCTTTTATATTAGATGTAGAATTATTGGTTATTTGAGTTTAAAATCAAAATTATTATTGCTAATTATTTTAAAAATTACCTTTCTTGGCGGCAACATTCTGAGCACATTATAGAAAATGAAAGAAGCATGGGGTTAAAAAATGCCCCAGGAAATCAAGATAGTGACAATACTAACTCTTCAAGGCTATTTTAAGGTTTTTCGTTTGTTTGTTTGTTTGGTGCTGGGGATTGAACTCAGAGGCACTCGACCACTGTGCCCCATCCCCAGTCCTATCTTGTATTTTAGTTAGAGACAGGGTCTCATTGAGTTCCTCAGTGCCTCGCTTTTGCTGAGACTGGCTTTGAACTCACAATCCTCCTGCCTCAGCCTCTCTAGTTGCTGAGATTACAGGTGTGTGCCACCGTGCCCAGCTGTTAATTAAGTTTGAGCAGTGTTGAACATTTATATTGCATTGGTACAGCCAGCCAAATTGTTCTGATACTTTATTAACAAACTGCTGCAAGAATGTTTTTTCCCTGTCTAATTTAATGAAGGTAAATAATTAAACTGGTGCTGGGGTTTCAAATTCCCTGATTCTCTGAAATTGTTTTTTTCCTTTTTCTCATTCTGCAGTCTTCCAATTCAGGTACATGCATCGCATTATAGATATCTTTTTTTTTTCCTACTTATCTTTTGCTACCAGACCTCTGGTTTAAAAAATAGATTTGTATAACAGGTTAGTTGATCATTTGAAGTATTTAAAAATGTGTATGTAGAATAATAACTTGAGTATGATGTCATCATTTTTAGTCTATTCAGAACCTGGATCTCCTAACATACACATTTCCTAGCCAAGAYCTGGGTAGTTTATTTTAAAATGTTTATGCAGACCTTCAGGAGTTGATTGAAAATGTCAAGGCTGGGTCACCATGGATGTTCAGGTTTATGGGAATTTCTTAGGCTATGGGGATAATAAGAACCTGCTGGTGGAACTTTACTTAAGCAGATGAGGTAAACAGACACAATGGTGGAGTGGGACAATTTTAAAAAATTAAATGTTGGCTTYCTCCTTTATGTTTTTTTCCCCAATAGAACTTAGCAAGCCAGATGAAGCTCAAACCTGAGAGAGCCACCGCTTCCATCTGCTTTCCATCTCCTGAAATTTTATAGGCACTCCCCATCTGCTGCCTTTTCCTCTCTTGTCTTTGTCCTTGTGGGTTTATACCCCTTTTTATTCCTTAACTGTTATTCAAGGGAGTTATTGGTGGCTCTCTTTTCATTGAAGGGAGGAGAATCACACAATTCCTGTTATTAAATCAATGGTATCAGAGAACCAAGTATTTTTTTCTCTTCCAAGTTTGGTATCACTAGAATTATGAAGTTGCCGTCCCTAGCCATACCTGATTAMGAGGTGTTTTCAAAGATGCCTGTGGTTTCAGGATTTCCTTATTTGGAGAACAGGCCTGGGTTCGGAGCTTGGCTATCCTGGGGGGCAGAGTTCTGGTCTGAACATTATTTGGCTCGTGGAGCATTCTGCTTCAGTGGAAGTGGTGGGTTGAGAAAGTTAGTATGCTTACCAGGATTTTAATTTCCTCTGCCAGTAAGTTCCATTTATCAGATGCTCTATTTTTTGTTGAATTTAATTAACTGACTCACAGTTTGGATGTGAAAATGCTCATGTCCGCGGGGGCACACAGATAACTTGCATCATGTGCCTAATTAGCTTTCYTTGGTTCTCTTTCCTGCTGTTTGCTTAATCCATCTGTGACCACTCATAAGGGGCTGATGCTGGCCAGTCCTTGTGAATGGTCTGAGGCTTTCCTAACTGGAAAAASAGACATTAGCTCAAGAACCTGAAGATGTGGAATTCAGTTTTGTCTATTGCTCTTGTTGGCAGAGCCTTCAGCACTTGGTGCCTGTCTCCCAATTGGTACATGGAGTTAGTGGTTTTGGTCATGCTGTGATTATTTAAGATGGCGGATTGTTGGGTGGGAGGCACTCCTGGGCCGACTCTCCAGTGTCACTGGGAACCAGGCCCTCTGGGTGTAGCCCCTCTTTACTGACCCACTATGATTATGCTCGTTACCCCCAAAAGGTTGCCTCTTCTCTCTCAGGAGTTTATTTTATACAGAATACCTCAAGATCTTACTTACTTTGAGGTGGCATTTAGAAAATGCTATAAAGATCTGAAGAGTTGCCAAATAGTATTTTTCTRCAATACTTTTAAGAAATCTTGTAAATTTAATATTAAGAAACTCAGAAAACCTTCTAATACTATAATTGGAAACTACCAAAATGTTTATAGTGCTTAATAAAACTAYAATTTAGATAATAAGCTTTCTTATTATGTTAAACATTAAGGGGTGAATATTATCTTTGATCTCATTTAAGGTTTAGAAAACATGGTTATCCACATTCCAATATATAGAGAACTTAGGTTCTCTTCAGATAATATCCTACCTTAATTCAGAGGTAACAATGACCTTGACAGTGAGCATCAACCTTGACTTTCCATTGCAGATAAATGAAACTTAGATCTAAGAAAGGTCTTGGAAATACTTTATGGGGAAAAAAAGAATATTTTTAGGAAAATCTGGAAATAGCTTTTCTTAGAAAGGTCAAGTAAATATGAGAGCTTGCWATGCATTTACTTCTAACCATCACTTGACTTAAGATAGCTTTTTGGTGTGATACAAAGTGCTAAATAACCAATTTGATGGAATTTACAGTTACCCATGGCCATTTTTAGAACCATGTGAAGAATCTGAAATGTAAATTGCTGAATATTGACCTGAATTCTCAAGTTGCTGAGATGCGTGGTACCATTTGTCCTTATAGGTTTCAGAGTTAAACACACAAATAGAATTTAACATATGCAACCAATAACTCTATGCAAGTTTGCTATTTGAGGACAGAAAAAAATATATATATCTCAAATAACAGTTAAGGAGTAAAAAAAAAAAATATATATATATATATATATAAAAGCACAATGGCAAGGACAAGAGAAGAGAAGTCAGCAGATGAGAAGTGTCCATAAAATTTCAGGAGATTCAGCAGATGGATGAAGGGCCCCTCTTTTGGCTTTGAGCCTTTCCTTTTTGCTAAGTTCTCTTGGTGGGAGACAGGAAGCAGAAAAACAACTCATGTCACTAAACTCAGAAAGGCTCAGGAATCGAAGGCGTTGGAAAAGAGAAAGTTGGTTGAAGGTTTACTTGAAGAGGAATCTCTGATTTAGACAGGTGGCCATTCCTTTCTAGTCTGGTGAAGGCGCTTAATCTGTGGAGAAACATGGAAAGGAGGAAATCACTAGAGAAATAATAAAAGGCAGTTTCCCAGAACTGAGTGCATGAGTCTTCTTGATTACAAAGTACCAGAGTGCTCAGTGTATTGAAGGAGAAATGACCCAGACCRAGGCACAGTATGGGACTGCATGAAAATGAGACTAAATAGAATTTCCTGAAGCCTTCTTAAAAGAGAAACAGTAGACTTTATAGAAACATCTAAAAATTAGAATAATGTTCATTTGTCACAGCCCCTTCAGAAACAAGAAGATTGTACTCAAGGTCTATGAGATACGGAGAGAAAATAATGTCCTATCTGGCATATTCTCTAACCGCCCAAACTGTGGATCTACTGCGAGGGTTGAAAAAGAAATGTTTGTTCACACAAGTTTTCCCTAAATTTATCTTCCATGAATGCTTTTCCAAGAAAGTACCAGAGGAAGTGAACCTCTCTATAGAGGGGAATGGGGCCCTCAGATGGGGAAGACATGAGTCTAGGACCAATATAGAAGGAGGCAGGCAAAGGGTGATCTCAGTACAGCACAGAGAACTCCTGAATGGCAGTTGTGCACAGAGCCTAAAAAGGTACAATGGAGACCAAAGCATGAGGCTGAAAAGAAACAAGGGGGGTGTCTCCAGGTGCATAATGGATATKCTGTGTTACTTGATATGTTTGACCATATTGAGAGGAGTTTTAGAGTACTCTTAGATACGAGGGATGCATATATGCTAACTACATGAAAAAATAAACAAGAAAATRAAGCAAAACTTTAAAAAAACTTAAATGGAGGCAAGAAAGAAAATGTAATTATAGTATCACAGCTGTGAAAGATATTTGCAAAGTCATAATATAAACATTAAATTTGGATTTAACCAAAAACTGGTGATGTGTATTGGAATGCATTGAGGGTGAGAGGAGTTTTCATGATTCTGTATTAGGAAGATAATTCTAAAATGAAATAAATCATCAGGACATAGCCATATAAATATTCCATTAAAAATGCATAGGTGAACACAAGAAGAAACAACTTGAAGAGTTAAAAATGGTTGGCTTGGAGGTTGGGGTAGTGGAGCAGGGGAGAAAGGAAACAGCTGTGTAGCATCTGGTAAGAATCTGCTCCTATAATGCATGCTTAAGAAATGTAAATAAATTTTTTTCACTTACATTGGTTTTATTCCCACTAGAGCCTTTACTCCTTCATTAAATTTAATGCACACATACTTTTATAGAAAAGTTTAAAAATTGTCTAGTCTCATTCATGACTCCACATAGGACCAGTTTCTAGGATTATTAATACATAGATTAATACATAGTGACCACACATTCCCATCTTTGTTTTTGTTCGTTTGTTTTTGTTTTATAGAACCATCCAAAGAGTGACTCTCAGTGCATAAAATATGATCAGTCAAACCTTCTTCTTTTGTAGGGTGGAGAGCACTGTTACTACCATGGAAGCATCAGAGGTGTCAAAGACTCCAAGGTGGCTCTGTCAACATGCAATGGACTTCAGTATGTGGGAATCTCTTTGGACCCTCTTTCTCTCTAAGTTTGCTTTCATTGTTGACTCTATTTTTTCCCCCAGATATTTATTTCAGTGATCATCTGTGCCAGTTCCATGTTATGGACTGGATATGGAGTAGTTCACAGGGATACAGAGTTTCTCTCTCTTTAAAAATTAGGGTTTGTAGAAGATCCAGAGATTAAACAAATGATTGCACAGGATGATATTTAGTTACCATTTTGGTAGGTGCTATGAAGGGGAAGGACAGGAGCACATTAGCTCTTTTTTTTTTTTTTTTTAAGCTTCTGTTGCCATAACAAAAACCTCAAGATAACCAGTTTATAAAGAGAAAAGGTTCATTTTAGCTCAAAGTTTTGGAGGTTTCAGTCTATGATTCATTAACTCCATTGCTTTGTGCCTGTTTGGAGGTGATATCTCATGGTAGGAGCACGTGGAACCACAAAATTATTTATCACATGAACAGGAGGGAAACAAGAGAGTGAAAATGGTCCTGGGGTCCCACATGTTCTCAATGACCTACAGACCTTCCACTAGGTCACACCTCTTAAAGGTCGTACCCCTCCCAGTGGCACCATTCTAGGGATCAACCCTTTGACATACGGGCCTTTGGGGAATATTCAGGGTCCAAGCAGGAGGGATAAAGAGTGACTGAGCTCAGTTCAGGCAGGTTCCCTGAGGCATATTCCAGAGGATGCAGCAGCCGTTGGATCAAACCTGTGTATGGCTAGGAGTTAGCCAGKCAAGGGTGGAACGATAAAGAGAGGCACTCGTGTCTTGAGTTAGAGGCAGGCTCTAAAAAAACCATCTGTGAGCRCTTTTGGACCCAAACACAGCAGCACCTCATGTGAACATCTAGTTCAGCCCTGTGATGAAAAAGGCTTTTGACATGTTTTCTTTTTTCGTACTTTATATTAAAAACCTCATGTCTGTCATCATTAAATATGATGTAAATGACACAATTGTACTGCTTGATGGAAATGTACTCACCATTTACAAGCATAAGTGTACGTCTGCTTTCCTCTTCAAAATTAGATGGTTCTGGATGATTCTTATATGAGGACCTGTCATTTCTCTTCTAGATGACACTGGATTTGCAAGCTAAGAAATTTGTACAAGTTGTACACGATTCTAAAATAACCTGAGATACTGCCACCACAGGAGTCATCCTAGATTAATGTTCTCATCTGCCCATTTGCTCTTAGAAACTAATTCTATCAGGAATATATATATATATATATATATATATTTTTTTTTTTTTTTTTTTTTTTTTTTTTTGCTCTTGGTGGGCGTTTTTCCACTTCTTGTAGCCTTTGTGCTATCTAGCCGAGGGACACAGTGGGATTCTATACAGATATGTGAATTGGATTTGGAACAGTTACAAAGGTGTTGGTTTAGATGCACTCTTTATTTTGAGGGCACCATTAGGAAGCTGACTTTTTATTTCTTGCCATTGCGGTATTCGCTCATTCTCTCCTTCTGTGGATTCTCTTGTTACAGTGGGATGTTTGAAGACAGTACCTTCGTGTACATGATAGAGCCGCTGGAGCTGACTCATGACGAGGTGAGCCTGACTGCCATGGGACATCAGTTTCCCTGTGGTGTTTCACTTTTTCAGCATCTTTGCCTTTGAGTAGTAAGAGAAAATGTAGATTTCAAAGTGTGCTTATCCATATTACCTTATTTCTAACTTAGAAGGGTCCCATGAGTTTTGAAGCTTACATTGCATGKGCTGTGCCCACATACCAATAAGGGATAATCAGAGGCATGCAACTAGGGTTTTCTGTAGCTCAGGCCAGTTTCTTCTAGTCCACCGTGAGATCAGGAGTCGTTTMGTTTTGCAGTAGCCCTGCTCCTGCAAAACGAAATGGTATCCAACTTCTCTCTCACAGTCTCCTTTAGATAATTGTGGTTCTAACCATGTACTTAATTTCTGCTCCCTGAAAATGAGGGAATTTGATTATAGGATACAAAGTGTAAGTTTCAAGATAGGGAAGAAAATAATGTTTAGTCATGGGCACACCAGTGTGACCTAGATAAGAAATCACATAATCTTGGTCATGTGGCTCACTAATAGAATGTGACCAAACCTAAAAGACATCAAATAGTGTATGGAGGGTGTTACTACTTGCTGAGAACTATTTTAGGTGTTAGGGATACATTAGTGATAAAATAGACATAGAACCTCAGCCTAATGGAGCTTCTAGTCTACAGGGGCAGATGGGATGAACAAGTAATTACGTGTGGCATTTTAAATAATGATGCTTGCTAAGGAGAGAAAATGAAGCCAGGGAGAGAGGAGAGTTAAACATTATGTGCAGCGAGCAGGGAAGACCACATGGAGAAGGTGTTTTGAATAAAGACCTTAAGGAGGTTAGAACATTCTAGGAGATGTGCAAATACAAAAGGCTGTGAAGCAGGAGTGAGCCTAATGTGTTCAGGGAGCTTTGGGGGACATGGTGAGGTTGGAGAGGACTGAATAGGGGGAAGTGGCAGGAGGCCCTGAGAGGTAACAGTAGGGAAGTCAGATCAGTGAAGAGGACTAATAAAGGAAAAAAATAATATTTTGAGARTGACAGAGTCAGAATATTGCCGTCATTTGTTGGGGAGCAGAAAACATTTTTTTTTCTTAAAGTACACGGGAATATGGGATACCTTCCAAATCTGAGGCAGAAAAGTTACTAAATTGTAAATGGTTGCTTGTTTGAATAAACTTGTATCATTTTTTTTAACCTAGTTACTTGCAAAGTTACCAGATAGTAAAGAAAACGGAACCTAGATTAAGATATTTAGGTTAAGTAAAGTGTTATTCCCCTGACTCCATTTATAGACAAATAGTCCATATGCAGCAAAATTTTTGGACTCATTCAGGAAAAATAAAATCACTTTGATTTTTGGCTTTGATTAATGCCATCTTATCCTAAAAACAAAACCCCAAAGAACAAACAATCCAAAATAATAATTCTCTAAGCCTTAGAGTTTTAAAAATATGTAAATGAGATAATTTTACAATGCATCCCTAATAGGGTAATTTTGCAGATTCGGTGATTTAATAAATGTATGTTATGGTGCATGTTAAACTGCTGAAAAGGTTTGTGTGTATGTAAACTATGATTATCATAATGTTTAAAGAACTGCTTTCATGTTGTTAGGCCCATAATTATATAATACAGGAGCTGATTGTTACATGCTTATTATCTTCTCTTTTTGCCTGCCTTCCTACTGCCTGCCTTTTGTTCATGTAATGGTTTGTTCTCGTCCTCACCACGGGTAGAGGGAGAGGAACAGTGTTTGAAGCTTAAAAAATTGTGTTGCTGATCCAGTTGTGAATTTTATTACTCTAGATATCTTTTCACCTGTTAYTAGAATCAAGTGTTTACTTGAATTTGGATTTCTTTTTTTTCCACATTTTTTTTGTTTGTTCYTTTTAGATATACATGGCAGTGGAGTATATTTTAACCTATTATATATACATGGAGTATAACTTCCCATTTTTGTGGTTGTATTGGTGTGGAGTTACACCGGTCATATAGTCATATGTGAACATGGGAAAGTTATGTCCGATTCATTCTACTGTCCTTCCTATTCCTATTCTCACTCCCTTCCCTTCATTCCCCTCTGTCTAATCCAATGAACTTCTGTTCTTTCTGCCCACCTGCCCTTATTGTATGTTAGCATCCGATTATCAGAGAGAACATTCAGCCTTTGGTTTTTTGGGGATTGGCTTATTTCACTTAGCATGATAGTCTCCACTTCCACCCATTTGCTGGCAAATGCTATAATTTCGTTCTTCTTTATGGCTGAGTAATATTGAATTTGGATTTCTTTTCTTTTTTTGGGTGGGGGTACTGGGGATTGAACTCAGAGGGACTTGACCACTGAGCTACATCTCATCCCTATTTTGTATTTTATTTAAAGTCAGGGTCTCACTAAGTTGCTTAGTGCCTGCCTGTTGCTGAGGCTAGCTTTGAACTTGCCATCCTCCTGACTCAGCCTGCCAAGCCACTGGATTACAGGCATGTGCCACCACACCCAGTGAATTTGGATTTCTTTATGTCCATATTATTTTTATTAATTTTATTATGCTTTGTAATAATTCTTTCTGTAAAGAATATTTCCATTGGAAATTCATGTTCTATCACAACGAAAGTATAATTAGTAAAATTCTTCATTATTTTCTTTTATGTAATCTGTGAAGAAGGCTCTCCTTTATAAATATTTTTCTGATTATTAAATTAATATAGGAAATTTGGAAAAGCAAAGGAAATACTTAATTAAATAGTATCTATCCATCCTCAAAGATAACTTACCTTTATTTTTCTGTATAGATTTGTCCTATTTTTCAATGATATATTTCCAAACTTTTAAAAATAAATTGATTGGATAATGGTGATGATGATGATGATTGTTGCTGTTGCCCTTTCTGGGACCCAACCCAGGGCCTCACCCTCTGCCACTGAGCTACATTCCCAGCCTTTGGATCATTATTTTATAATATAATTTAACTCAAAGTATCTCTGAGTCTCAATATCTTTACTTGTTAAATAAGGATAAAATATATACTATGTGTTCTTGTTAGGAATAAATTAGGTAATATGTACTTAAATATTGCCTGGCACCTACTATCGTCTCAGTAATGAAAGCTGTGTTAGTCAGCTTTTTGTCACTGGGACCAAAATACCCAACAAGAACAGCTTAGGGAGGGAAAATTTATTTTGGCTTATGGTTCTAGAGGTTTMGACTATGGTTGGCCAACTCTATGACTCTGATGAGATTGAACATCATGGCAGAAGGGAGCGATAAAAGAGCTCAATTCATCGCAGCCAAAAAGCAGAGGGATGGGGAAGGGCCACAGGGAAGCTGACCTCTTCTAGGGCATGGCCCCATTCTCCTACCTCCTCTAGACACACCCTACAGGCCTACAGTTACCACCCACTCCATGCCAGCTAGGAGGGACCCATTAGGTGGCAGCACTCCTAATCCAGTTATTTCACCTCCAGACATTCCTGCAATTAATGCACAAGCTTTTGGGGGACACTGCATATCCAAGCCATAACAAAAGCTAATAGTAATAGTAATGGTAATAAATCATTCATAAAAGTGTAATTTATAGGCCAAATGACATGAGTATTTTCAAGGTTTCTGATAGACATTGTTAAATTTTCTCTGAAACTATGATACTAATTTCCTTCCACAAACAATGTGTAAAGAATGCTTTTCCCTTGCAACAATTATTAACTAAGGATATGACGATTTTTAAATCTTTACTAACTTGATGGTAAAAATTGGCATATCATTCATTTTAAATTTAGGTTTTAAAAGAATATTAAAATACCTAACATTCAGCATTTTCATATGTTTATTGACCCTTTGCGTTTATTTYTTGAGAATTTCCTACTCATAGCTTTGAAGAAGGTAAGGCTTAAAAAATAGCTAATAAAGCTCTGCTTTTATCTAAACAGGGGTATTGGAAGATGCTTTATTTTATTTAAAATTACCATTTCAATGAGACATATACTTTTCATTTTTGATAGCTTAAAGTTTGACATACGTGTTTCTGCTTTAGGAAGGACATCAGAGAAAGTTCTCACAMCATTCCATAATAACTTGTTCACATCTCGCTTTTTTTTATTGCCTACCATTTCATTTCAGAAAAGCACAGGTCGACCACATATCATCCAGAAAACTTTGGCGGGACAATATTCCAAGCAAATGAAGAATCTCAGTAAGTTTTAATTAAAAGAGCCATTCTAGTTTATGTGGTTGGAGCTGTGACTTGGTGGAACTCTGCAGTCACGCAGGCCAGACACGCAGGCTTGCTGGAAASTGGAATTACTCTGAGTTCTGGGGGTGAGACTGTGGAAGGCAGTGGAGTGAACCGAGAGTCATTTTGATGGAAAAACTGAAATATAAACCCCTGGGGTAAAACTGCACTGGGAACCAGAGAATGTGATCGAACTGAGAAAAGAGATTCACACCAAGACCCATGGTTAAATTTTCCTAATGTGTATCTCTTTGTCCAACTCTTATCACCTCCCTCTTAGGCTCTGCTTCTGAGGCATCGTGAGCGTGCTCCTGTTGGCAGAGGCTGCTTTTGAATTTGTGGGGTTACATGATGCTATTCCTGTATATTAGTGTCAGAAGTCTTTAATAATTTATGCAAAAGCTTATGTCATACATTATGTTTAATTCTAAAATGAATGAAGCATAGTAAAATTCTCTCAGATGTTCAGATATTATCTTGTGGTTGTAGGCCAAATATATATTTCTAGTGAATCTTGAACACCCTGTTTTTCATGATGTTTGGAAAAAAACACATGTTTGAACTCTCTTTTTGGCCATGAGGGTGTGAAATGTGTAATGAACAGTGTACTCTTTTTCTTCTTAGTTTATCCATTTTTTTTGTGATGACTTATCAAGCTGCTCTTCYTTCACATATTTTGAAAACATCCACTGGAATGCAGCCAAGCATAATTTTTGTGTTCATTTTTCTCTTACACAGGTACAGAAAGCAACGACCAGTGGCCCCTTCTGTCTGAATTACAGTGGCTGAAAAGGAGGAAGAGAGCCGTGAATGTGAGTGTGACTTTGAGCCACTCGTGGGGCTGTCTACCTTAGGTTGTGCACCTGTCCTGTGCAGTAGCTGTGTCCCTAGAACAGTTTTGATTTGGGAAATTTTCTCTTCAAAGCAAAACACGAAGGAGAAAACCCCATGACTTAAGCCTTATCAGCACATTGCTTTTTATATATCCCTCCATTAGTGATTCAAACTGATTTGTGTCCTATGAACCCCCGATGTTATATAAATGTATTGGCTTTGCTCTATTTCAAAGTATCTTCTAAGGAAAATCATAGTATTTTTTTTTTCTGTTGAAGGTACAGGAGGATTTCTTGCAGGTTGGGCTGGAGGTGATATGGCTTATATAGCATCACATAAAACATTTTTGTCAACAAAAATGCAGGAAGAGTTAGGTTTTGAAACATTGTCTAATTATGTTTATATATATTTCTTACAAATTAAGAACTTAGTTATACCAAACTTTGAAGCTGGATGTGTTTTTTTTTTCAGAAAAGAATGGAATTAATCTATTTGAACACTAGTGATAAGACAGTTACTAAATAATTACATGATGAACAACTATTGTATACCTCACACATATTGATAAATATAGAGGGGTTTTGTATCTGAAATTATGTTCCTCGTCTTTTTCATAATAGATTAGAAATCCATAATGACGGGGACTGTTTAGTAATTACATGGTGGGTGCCATGTAACCAAGAATTAATTCTACAGCTTATAGATTGCATGGTAATTTACTAGATAACTTAATGGGTAATTATAGTGAAAATTGCACATTTTAGATAACGTTTTCCTGAATGAATTTTTTTGTGAAAAAATTAGACCACCAGCCCTCATAAACTTAGTTCAAGGTTAAAGCCTTTCTTTTATGAGCCTGTGTTGGTATTATGGTGATTATATATACACACTTTTTATTCTTAGAAATTTCTTTGTAGTTACTCTCGAAGAGGCTGTTGACAGTAGCATTTTATATAGGCTTTGCTTTCCCTATGGTCTACCACTTAATTGATCAATGACTGTGTATGAAAAATAAATAAATCTAAATGAGGGCTTACTCTTAAAAGATTTTCTGGCAATAATTAAAATTTAGAAGAATTTAGAATACAGTGATTTTCAATGTTTGTTCCTTCCAGAAGTTGTGTCATTCAGAACTGGCACATTATTATTAAAATTGCACTCCAGAGAAGCTAATGTTTCTGTTTATCTAAATAGATACYGTTTCAGATATTCTGGGAGGTAATTATAATTTGTTATTCATATGAAATGAATTTTAAGGAGATTCTCTTTGACACTTTAAGTAGATTGAATATTTTTGATTACATTTTAATGCCAAAGAAATTGATAATTTACTAATTTTGATATAATTGTGCTATACATTATTGTATGGAATAATTTTGTATTTAAAGCCATCTAAAACTAAAATGGGCTCATGATAAGGAGAGACAGTGAAATATGGTTCCTTTCTGAATACTGGAGTGTTTAACAATTTTATAGTCACCTATAAAAATTTTTTTCCTTGACCAATTTCCAGATTTCTGATAGAGTTCTCTACAACTGAGCATTAGAGAAATTTTGTGTCAATCACTATTCTTATCAAATATTTTTATTTTTAACAGCCCTCTCGTGGTGTATTTGAAGAAATGAAATATTTGGAGCTTATGATAGTTAATGATCACAAAACGGTAAGAATACAGAATCACCAAGTTTTATACCCAATAGCTTACTTGAGACTGAGTACATTGTTAAGTACTAAAACCAAGATATTTAGACATTTTACTTTTTTGGAGCATTAAAAGACTTGATTTCTTGGTATTTAGAGACACTGACTGGGTTTTATAGAATTTCCACAACTCTAAACTTTTCCTCTGTTTAATAGTGATTATAATGGATAGATTTAGCTATTTGACATCTTTCACTTGACTTTATTAAAAAGTCTCCTTCCTGCTGGGCGTGGTGGTGCAAACCTATAATCCCAGTGGCTAGGGAGGCTGAGGCAGGAGGATGTCGAGTTCAAAGCCAGCCTCAGCAAAAGCAAGGAACTAAGCAACTCAGTGAGACTCTGTCTCTAAATAAAATACAAAATAGGGCTGGAGATGTGGCTCAGTGGTTGAGTGCCTCTGAGTTCAATCTCTGGTGCCTTTGAACACTGCTTTCTATTCTATTTCTTGCCTTTGTTCTGCTAATGTGTTTTTTTTAGCTTATTATTTGTGAATAAATGTAATAAATAAGCAAGTGTAATAAAGGTCTATCTAAAGAGACTATCTGAACCAATGAATTATTTCACTGAACAATGGAAAGCTGAATAATCTATTGTTAGCTCTGTGGAAGTACAGTATCTTTGGTTGTGTCATTTCAGTAACACTTAAAGGAAATATGAGAAACAACCATCACTCTCCATTTACCTCTCTTCAAATTGAAGTCAAAACTCTTAACTGTACTCTACCTAACCATTTCCTTGATAAAATGCCTGGGTGAAAGCCCAGGACTCGTGGAAGACCCTCTAGGGTGCTATGTCCAATACTAGTGGTATGTGATAAATTGTAACACCCAGTTCTTGGGCAAAAAGCACTGGTTTAGATAACATTTGCTGATCTCCATAATGTAAATAAATAGTCAGACTTTGGTTGATTTCAGGCTACCAAGGTGAGATCATTAATTGAAGGGAGCTGGGAGAGGTTGGGTCCAGGTGGCTCTTGTGTGTTGCTGGGCGCTGGCGTCAGCACTACTCCACACTCCCCTAACTGTTTAGGCCACTGTTATTTCTGTCATAGTTATGTAATTTAATTCTAAAAATTGCATATGTTAAGAGTACTTGTTTTTATGAAAATGAAGTTGCCTTTATGGAAAGACTTTATAAAGATGAGAATCTTTTTGAAAATGTTTGAAAGTCAGATACGGGTAAAAACCTTGTAAAAGGTAGGAACAAAAATTCAGATTGCTTTGCACATATCTTTAAGTCTTTATTTTACTCTAACTAAAACCAATGTTAGATTGGTAGATTATATGATAATGTTGTTTCTCGCTAAAGTGACAACTTGAAGTTCCAATTAGTAGACCCTACTTGAGAACTCCTTAAAGCCTGTATTTTTTTTTAAAAAATGACTCATATTTAAACTTTTGGGTCTCCTGTTTAATGGATGATTAAATTAATTATCAAATAACAATTCAGTTGTATTGAATATGAAGTTTTCCATAGAATTTCTCTTAGTTTTGTATGTGGATTTATTTTCTATGCCAGTAGGCTTTAAATACATTGCTTGAGATATGACAGTTAAGAAGCAGAATTTGGGCCTGGGATTGTGGCTCAGTGGTAGAGCACTTGCCTAGCATGCATGAGGAACTGGGTTCAATTCTTAGCACCACATACAAATAAATAAAATAAAGGTCCATCAACAACTTAAAAAAATTWAAAAAAAAAGAGAATCAGAATTTATCAGACTTACATACAATTCAGAAGTGGTCTTCCCTGGTGAGAAGGAAAACCAGATATGTAAGCAGTGATTTCAGGTAATAGAGACTAAAATATGAGCTTCTGTAGGACCTTAACAAGGTAATCTTCTCATCTGATTATTTTTATTGATTGGAATATTGAGATTTTTTTTTCCAGCAACTTCTCAAATCTGAGCACTGTGGCATGTTTTTTGAACTTATGGCTTTGGAAGCCTACGCTTGCCAGCCACAGTAGTGCATGCCTATAATTTTAGTGACTCTGGAGACTGAGGCAGGAGGATCACAAGTTCAAGGCCAGCCTCAGTAATTTAGTGAGAGCCTAAACTACCATTTACTAAACAGYAAGAACCTGTGTCAAAATAAAAAATAAAAGGGTAGCTGGGGATGTAGCTCAATCTTCTGCTACCTTCCACCTGCCAACAAAAAACCTAAGTTTTCCCTAAAGCCCCATTATGCAAATACTTTTAAAGCAGTGTATATAATAATTAAAATGTATGTAATTCCTTTTATTGTACAAAGCAYATTCCTAAATAATCAATAATCTATGTAATCGGTTCTCAAACCTTGACTTGCAATTCCAAATCTCTTGTTCTACCATACTATGTAAAAAAGTACATAGAGTAGCTTCTGTCAATCAGAGAGTAGCTTTCAGTAACTCTACAACATAGAAAACTTAAAAAAAGTTTAGAWATTGTATATATTAAATTTATTCATTTAGTTTTTGAGGTGCTGGGAATTGATCCCTGACCTAGTGCATGCCCTCAGTTGCACTACGCCACTGAGCTATGCCCCTAGCTGCCCTGAATTTATTTTTTTCATCTTTTAAAATGCTGAACATTTGTAAACTCTTATCTTTTTATTTATAATTTTTTAGTTGGACCCAATACCTTTATTTTATTTATTTATATGTGATGCTGAAGAGAGAACCTAGTGCTTTGCACATGCTAGGCSAGCAYTCTACCACTGAATCACAACCCCAGCCCCTATATAATCTTATCTTTATCTTACATGTAATGAAATAGCACTCTTCTTAAAATGTTGMTTTATACATAGAAAACTTCTGTAGAGTATATTGATATTCTGTGATAAAGTTACCTTTTACGGCTATCACTTTTTTTTGTTCAAAATTCAAATTTTTACCAATAAATATTGGYAATTCATCTTATTTTAATTATTATTAAAAGGGTAAAAGCTGAAAATTGAATATTTTCATGAATATTTTCTAAAAATATTTTCTTAGTTGTAAATGGACACAATACCTTTGTTATAGTTACTTTTATGTGGCGCTGAAGATCGAACCCAGGGACTTACACATGCTAGGCGAGCACTCTGCCACTGAGCCACAACACTAGCCTCTGCTTATCTGTTTTTAAAACTAGAAATAAAGAACTGTAATGTGAACTGATATATAGAGGAAATACATGTTAATTTTTTTTTCAAAGCTTCTGGTTTGGGGTGGAAATAAAGCCTGAGGTAGAAAGAAATTACTTAAGATGTTTTCTATTCTTTAAAGAARTATTACTTCTAGAATAACAAAACTAAATATTATTCTTTTTCTTCAAGAACATTACATTCTACTGTAATTCTACATTTGATAGTCCCAAATGAGTGTGTCATTTTATAAAAATATTTTTCTTTTTAGAAAAAGATCCTTTTTTGAGGTGAAAATAGTTTTTAAATATGATTGCCACAAAGAGGTAGTAAATTAAAAAACATGGATTGGAGTACTTAAATTCCCATGTTGAAAGTGAAATTGAAGCAGAATATCTGATCCATCTATTTTTTAATGTCTAGAGATTTGCCATTGGGATTTAGAATAATCATCCCACGGAAAACACTCATTTTACAATGTTTACTGTGTGAGGCAGCAGTTACCTGATAACTCTTACCTTAGGGTTGAAAATAAGTTCGAATTTAAATTTTTTTCAAAAGGCAAATCTCTTAAGGTTTCATTTGTTCAGGAAGTAAAAGCAAATTTACCAGTTTAAATGTAAATTGTTTTCAGTGATCTGAAAACGTGAAGGTACATTTTATCATAATAGGAGACTGAACATTTTTCTTTATTTGCGAAATTAGTTCTCATTCATGCAGGAAATAGAAACATTTTGCCTATATTTGCATTCAAGCTTACCTCTAATTCACAGTAACCTAATATTGACTGCCTGAAAAATGTACATATCTTATTTGGAGCAGGCATCACGCTATCAGAGGCTTTCAATTAGAAAGAAAAATCCATCAATTTCGCAGAAAGCATCTTAGTACCTGGATGGCGGAACCTAATTTGTGCCAATTACAGCTTTGATAAGAGTCTATAAACATCTCTTTGAACCACTTAAACTAAAACTAAATATTACAAACCCTATTCTAAGAGAAAATTGGTTGAGTTATTTTAAAGTGCATGAAAATCAAGTGTTTTGCTTCCATTTTTTTTTTTTTTTTTGCTGTATTCTTAAGTGGGAGCCAATAAGTGCAAACGGGTGATGATAATTCAAATATTTTTTAATGTATACCTCATTTAGTTTTCCCTACTTTAAAAGCACCATAATTTATATGCACCTAAAATTATAAATTCTCATCAGTAATTATGATTTGTTGGGAATATATATGAACTATTTAAAAATAATTGTTAACTGAACAAGTTTATCTCCTGTCTTAACCTGGAGTGGGCTTTGAATTTCAACCATGTGGTCTTAGATGAGTTATTTGGGGATAATAAAATTACTTTCATAGAGTTTTTTAAAATTTATTTAAAAATTTTTTTTTAGTTATAGTTGGACACAATACCTTTATTTATTTATATATGGTACTGAGGATCGAACCCAGGGCCTCGCACGTGCTAGGCAAGTGCTCTACCACTGAGCCACAACTTCAGCCCCCTTTTGTAGAGTTTTGAGGAGCAAATAATGGTTGTAGGAGAAACTCTTATCATAGTTCTTAATAAATTCTAGGTGCTCAATTAAGTAGTGCTTCGGGTTAATAAATCTAATGGTCACTGTTCTATCTTTATTTTACTCCCTCAGCAACATTAGACAAAATTACTCTCTTTTATTGAAACATTTTCTTCCTCTCTTGTCGTCTATGACATGACAGCTCTTCTACCTCAGTGGCCATTTCTTTTAAATCTGACTCCTAGAATCATGGGAGTGCCCCAAGGCTAGGTTCAGAGCTCCCATTCCCTACTCCCTGAGTGACAACTTCTAGTCTCAAGGCTTTAAATAGTATCATGACTTTAAATTCTTAACTCTCTACTTTATATTTCTAGCCTTCTGAATTCCATGCTCCTGCGTCCAACTGCCTGCTTGACATTTGTACTTCAATATTGAGTAGGCATCGCCCATTTAACACCTCTCAACCAGAACCTGAAGGGTTTATATGTGTCCACTGCAAATTCCAGTGTCAAAAACTTAATCCCAGTATTCACGTGYCAGTGGTATTTGGAGGTAGGGCCTTTGGGAAGCAGTTAGTGGTTAAGTGAAGTCATGAGGGCTGCCCCCTCCCCCAATGGCATTAGTGGCTTCCTAAGATGGGGTAAAGGGACTGGAGCTGGTGTGCTTACTCTCTCACCATGTGGTGTCCTCTGTCGTTATGATGTAGCAACAAGGCCCTCACCAGATGACGGACAGGTGCAGGAACCACGTCACGTGCTCAGGAAGTCTTTCTTCTCTCTACATCAACTCAGGCATTTAGTTGGACCACAGAACAAAGACTAGTTTCCTAATCCTAAACTTCTCTTTCCTACTTTCATTATCTAAAACAAAACAAAACAAAACAAAACAAAACAAAAAAACAAACAAACAAAAAAAAACCTTTTAAATTGGTTCTTCTTAGTTATGCATGACAATAGAATTCATTTTGATAAAATTATATAGGTAATGTCTTATTCTAATTAGGAACCCCTTCTTGTGGGTGGGGACACAGTGGTGGGATTCACCTAGGTGTTTGCTATCACAGTTTCCCATCTATTCAGGTTCACAGCCTGTGCCACCTTTTCTTCCTGTCCTGACTCACCTTCTACATCCTTTGGACCTGCAGGTCTTGGCATTTCTACCTTCATAATGCTTCTCAAGGTCATCTACTTCTCTCTGCTGTTGTCTGCTTTCATTACTTTTTATCTGGACGATTCCTGGTGAAAAGGGGACCGTTTCTCCAAAGCTCCGTCTGCTTCCATTCTTGATCTTCTCTAATTCACTCATCACACAGCAGGTTGAGTGATCTTTCTCAAAAGAAAACCAGAAACTTGAAAAATTACAAATAAGAAATAAATGGAAAAAACATGGTGTTTGGTAGATTTTAAAAAGACCTTATTGGGGCTGGAGTTGTGGCTCAGCTGTAGAGAGCTCACCTAGCACATGCAAGGCCCTGGGTTCGATCCTCAGCACTACATAAAAATAAATAAATTATACACACACACACACACACACACACACACACACACACACACACACCTTAGTAGTGTTTTAAACTTGCAAGTCATGTTTTCTATGACCATTATGCTATAAAAAAGATATCTCTAAAATGGATACATTGATATTCAGAGCAAGATGAAATTCTTCTTAACAGGTATGTGTGACACCACTGCTTTAGAATAGGTGTCACCTAATATTTTTCTGTTCTTTACATGACATATGCTATTTAGCCTCAAGATTTTTTGAAGTCTGCAATTMATTAGCTTTTAGTAACTTCACATTGTGTGTAATCATCACTCTGTGTAGTTCTAACACATTTTCATCATCTCAAAGGAACTTAATATTGAGACTTTTCCTTGTACTCTTAAAAGGTCTTTTTGAAAAATTTCAGCYTGTAGAATCTGCTAGGCAACTTAAAATGGCAAGCTATTTATAAAAACTTCTTTATACTAATTTGAAGTTTAAATCTGCTAAGATGTTTGAAAAATTTTAGATGAATGTGATATTTTATTACCCACTTATGYGCATACATTGAAACTTATTTTTAAAAGAATGCAATGAGACAATTTGGGCCCAATTGTGATCCACAGTGGTAGTAATAACATGAACAATAGTAGCAATATTATACCAGTAGTTATGAATTAATGAACGCTACCTATAGCAATATATGAATCAACTTATTACACATTTATCATGCAGCCTCTGTGTTCCCAGTGTTCTAAAAATAGGCATCAAATTTAATTTAAAAACACTTAGCCATACCTTTGTGTGGTTGTTATTGTTTCAAAACCATAGTCACAGGAGTTGAAAGAGAAAGAAATCAAGGGGGTCTGGCAAATCTGTAGGGTAAAGGAGAAAAAAGAATATCATGATTTCCTAATGTGAAAATATTTTAAATCTTTATGAAAGACACATTATTTTCATCATTATAATTGAAGACAGGTTTAAAAGACTTGTGGTACAAATCTGAATTGGAGTTTTTAAGTATATGTGCAACATATGTATATATGTTGAAAAAATATGTATTAAATATATGTATCCCCCCCACCCCCCACAGAGTTATAAGTTATGATGGCCTCATGGACCAGTAGAGGGCATGGTTTTCCCATGGCAGACCTCAGCTTTCCAGTGTCCTCTTAATGACCTGTTCAGCAAAGTGCACTACTCCTGGCTAAAAGCAAAGCCCTCCTGATGTTGTTGTAGAATGATTCCATTAATTTGCTTTTCTTTATTTACTTTAATAATCGTAAACGGCCATCAGTGCACTTTACTTTCATGTCTCCTCTTGTCTGACTACAAGCACTCAGAGGTGAAGGTTTCCTTTGGAGGTACCATTTCCTGTAGGGATCCTGCTTTCCATGTCATGGGCACTATCTGAGGTGCTGCATGAGGAATTTTCTTGATTCATGTGTGGCCTTGAGTGTTAGGTGAGGGAAATGACCAATGAAGACTAAATATTTTGGTCTATGCCCTTTATAAACTGTGAAATGTCATTTCAGTGAAAACAAAGGGTTGAATTGGTAGACATTAAGACAATTAAAAATCTACTCTCAGGGATAAAGCTTCTCACACCTTTCCATCACCTAGAATATCCTGGTGGGTGTTTTAGAGTTTTATTGCCTAACACACACACACACACACACA